CGGTAACCTCCCGGTACTCCGGTAAAATCCCGATTTCACCCGGAACACTTCCGATATCCAAACATAGGCTTCCAATATATCAATCTTTATGTCTCGACCATTTCGAGACTCCTCGTCATGTCCGTGATCACATCCGGGACTTCGAACAACCTTCGGTACATCAAAATGCATAAACTCATAATATAACCGTCATCGTAACCTTTAGCGTGCGGACCCTACGGGTTCGAGAACAATGTAGACATGACCGAGACATGTCTCCGGTCAATAACCAATAGCGGGACCTGGATGCCCATATTGGCTCCTACATATTCTACGAAGATCTTTATCGGTCAGACCACATAACAACATACGTTGTTCCCTTTGTCATCGGTATGTTACTTGTCCGAGATTCGATCGTCGGTATTCCAATACCTAGTTCAATCTCGTTACCGGCAAGTCTCTTTACTCGTTCTGTAATACATCATCCCGCAACTAACTCATTTAGTTGCAATGCTTGCAAGACTTAAGTGATGTGCATTACCGAGAGGGCCCAGAGATACCTCTCCGACAATCGGAGTGACAAAACCTAATCTCGAAATACGCCAACCCAACATGTACCTTTGGAGACACCTGTAGTACTCCTTTATAATCACCCAGTTACGTTGTGACGTTTGGTAGTACCCAAAGTGTTCCTCCGGTAAACGGGAGTTGCATAATCTCATAGTTATAGGAACATGTATAAGTCATGAAGAAAGCAATAGCAACATACTAAATGATCGGGTGCTAAGCTAATGGAATGTGTCATGTCAATCAGATCATTCTCTTAATGATGTGATCCCGTTAATCAAATAACAATTCATTGTTCATGGTTTGGAAACATAACCATCTTTGATTAACGAGCTAGTCAAGTAGAGGCATACTAGTGACACTTTGTTTGTCTATGTATTCACACATGTATTATGTTTCCGGTTAATACAATTCTAGCATGAATAATAAACATTTATCATGATTGTAAGGAAATAAATAATAACTTTATTATTGCCTCTAGGGCATATTTCCTTCATTCCTAAGGGAACATGCTCAAGTTATGAACTTGAATAGTGTTTGGTTTCATCCAAATCTTCGTCTTGATATGATTGTGAGCACCTTTCATGTATTGTATATATTTTGATGATAAAATCATCGACATATACATAGGCCATGTACAATCCAATGGGTGATTTTGTTAATGACTACATGCAAGCAATCTTTATCCGAGTAATCATTGTTTGTATGTGGTGCAACCAAGCTACTAAAAGTAGTGGATGTAGATGCACCGAGTTTCTTTTCGTTTTACACCCTTATTTGTTTTCCTGTGGTGCAATTGATCTGGTAAAGCCTAAAAATATTAGCTATAGGGACCCTGAGTTATTTTAATATAAAAATGGGAGTCTACAAGTGCTAACAGAATGTGATTGCTGCATGTAGGGACTAGCTCTCTAATGTAACTCCTTGAGGATGATGCACTTGAAACGCTCTCTGGTGAGTTCCTAGTCTCCTCCCTCTCTCCCTTGTGGCTGATATTGTCTGGCCATCGAGCCATGACTGATTGTGGTGCTGACCATCTAGCCAATGATTGAGGACCCCGTTGTGTGGTTATGGTCTTTGTGGTGTTTTCTTCGGCCATCGCAATCTTGTGATTGTGATGATCTTGTTGGCATGTTTATGTTACTTTCTACGAATTACTTTTGGTCAGAATTGGTGTTTGTTTAGCCTTTTATTTCCAGATGATGTTACACCAGGTTTAATTTCATGAAGTGGCATGGAACAGTTACCAATTGATCAGGGTTATGCGATTGTTTGAGTTGTAATTCAATGAATATGCTTCTTGGCCATGCTAGAATTGGCCTTTAGAGTTAATATTTCTCTCGCAACCATTCTTGTCTTGTTTCATAGGTATAAGAACAAATATTCTTTTACCAAGTGCTAGTGTTGTGCTTTGTGTTGATGATAAGAATGTGGCATGCTTCACCTATTTATCATGTGTCGTGTTGTGTTGTGCACAGTGACGATAGTAAAAGGATTGTTTGACTTATGAGCTTGATTTATCAGATTTGCAAGAAATTTTTATGTGGCAGTGTAAGTCTGTTGTGAAATATGATGGCATGGGGAGTAGGGAGCATTTTGTGGTTTGACATTTTTTGTCGAACTAATAATCTTTGAGCGTGAATCAATCAAGTATCCTACTAACTGACCCTATAATGTGTCACGTTTCTACTGCAGCAATGGAGGATGCTATGAAGCGCCAAGACTAGCAACTTTTTGTTGGTCGACATTGTTGAGTACTAGAGTCGGCGTTTTGCATCGCCAAAGGGGAAATCTGCCATGCCGGGGATCTGGGTGGCGGTGGCCAAAGCATGGGAGCCCTCCATGGATGAATAGCTAAAGTGGTTAAGGAAACAAGGAAGTGATATCCCATCGTCCGTCGCCGGTAAAGAAATCAGGGACTGGCGCACATACGCCCATCAACCGTCGTCGCTTCCCTCCATCTTTGCCATAGCCAACAACTCCATGGCTTTCGTTAACCATGGCCACATCCTGCCGGCAACGTCGTCCAGATGCTCCACGAAGAGCTTCACCAGAGCCCATGATTTCGAGGTGGCCAATTACCTGCTGCTTGATGGCTTGGGCATCGACATGTACATCAGCTCATGCGTCTTCAGCGTTGGTGGCTACGACTAGACTATCCAGTTCTACCCAAGTGGTGAATCGGTCGTCTGTGCCGGTAAGGCTTTAGCCCTTTTGTATTGTGTCAGCCAACAGGAAGGTGCGAGGGCTAAGTTCACCTTGAATATGCTGAATTAAAAAATGAACCGGATAAAAAATAATTCATGAATGGCCCACTTGCATGAAGCCTGGGGCTGGGGCGCTAAATAGCATGGCGCCCTCGGACTAGCAAGGTGCCTCCGGACAGGGCGTCATGCTATTCAGCAGGGCCGCCCCAGCTCTGGGCATCATGCAAATGGGCCATTTTGTGTTTTTATTAATCCAGTTCATTTTGTGCTAAAGTTTCTGAAAAAGGAAAGATTTGTTCATTTTCACCAGGCCAGATGCAGCCCTTGGCACGCGCCTTCGTCATCGAAATTCAAAGTACGCCACGGGAAATCGACTCGCGGAGGCTGTCTTCGTAGGAAAAGATTCCACGGAGATCAGATATTTAGTTCGACAAAACAAGACCGGAGGTCGGCTGCCGTGCATTCGGTAATGCCGACCCTTGGATCTTCTACCATATTCAAAGACTGGCAGAAGCGTCACACATTGCCCCAAGAGCAAGTCGATGCATAACCCATCTTTTGGGGAACTTCGTGAACCAACTGTCAAGGCCTCGTCAAGCTATGGGAAGACAATGTGATGAGGTCGACCCTAGGCCGGAAGGTGCCAAGTCGGCCAGAAGGTGCTTAGTTCGTGGGCTTGTTCAGGAGTTACCGACGGTGCTATGACCCAGGAGTGACTCAAAGTGCCGGAAGTCAGCCCAGAAGGTCGACCCAAGACCCCCAGGCCACCTCATGGCGTCATCTTATCAGTCCGCCCTGGTAGCCCTCCAGTGGAAGGAACTGTCATCCTTGTCATGCAAGACGAGGAGGCCGGACCAACCGGGAGATTCTTCAACAGTCTAGAACTGACTAGGATTCTATAACCATAGGCCCATCGTGTCATTTTAAGCCGGGGATAGTCGATAGGCCCACTGGTATACCTATGATTCCTGATATCATCTTTGTACCCCGTACACCCCATCCGGTCAATACAATAAGAGAGTGAGTGGGGTTTTACCTCTAGAGCAAGGACCTGAATCTAGGTAATTTTGTCTCTTGTTCCCCTCTAGGCTTTCTGGCTAGTCACAGCACCCTACCGAGGGGTTTATCAAAATTTACACCGACACTATGTCTCCCACCTAAAAACTGGAATATTCTAAGGCTCTATTTTTTGAGTTAATCGATACTTTCTCAAGTGCAGTCACTTGTTAATGTATTTTTCTAGAGAAATTTTTTGTATTGACTAGTCAATTTCAAAAGAATCTTGAACCAACATATGGTTAGATGGTTAAGAGGACAGTAATATTCCCAGCCCACCACGGTTGAAGTCCTAAAGTTAACATTGATGCTTACATTTTTTTTGGATTTATTTCAGGCGCGTTCACTGGGAAAACACGTTTCCGTAGACTACAAAGGCATCTGTGATGACTTCGTCAACATGAGTGAGTGTATGTGTGTATGTGTTGTATGTGCATGAACGCCTTTTTTTAGACAAGTATATGCATGAACGTCTGCGTGTGTACTGTATTTTTTTTCTAAAGGATCTTTTTAGGGAACAAGGCCTTTTTTTTGGTAATAATTTTTCCGCAAGCCCATTCGGCTCCGGACCGAGCCTAGTTTCTCATGGGCTGATTTCACTTTTCTTTGTCTTGCCCACCGACGAAGTAGACTCTCACAGCCCGTCTGCTGCGCCTCTAGTCGACGGTCCCCAACACTTCCAAGTGACGGCGGCGGCGGTTTCTTCCTCTCAGCCTCCACCACCTGCGGGCTCGCCGGCGGTTGGACCTGCTCAGCGAGCGGGACTGCGTCCTCTCCTGGCGACGTTGCCGTGCATTGCCCGTCGAGTCTTTTTCTTCGGCGCGCCGCCCTCCTGCAGCTCCGTCGCCTTCTGTACCACGGTGCGCCGCTGCCCGTTCGTCGTGAACCATCTAGTTGGGTAGGCTTGGTTCAAATCTTAAATATTTTTCCCGATTTGAGTTTTCCTCAACTTTTGTAGATGGTAAGCTGTTATGCGTCAACGAAATGGTGGCGTGTTTGGGGTTGAGATCTCATTGTTATCAGATTCAAATCTGGGCTGTGTTTCTTTCGTTCAAGGTCCGATTTCGCCGGTTGAAACCTGTTGATCTCTCAGCTTAAGGCTCATATTTGCTAGCCTTGTAAACTGAATTTTGTCAGAGGAAGTTCTGTCTGCTTCGCAAGCCTGCGACACCCGTTGCATTTTTTTTCACCATGGCCAACAAATCCACCTCTGAAGTTAGCCATGGCCAGCTACCCAAGACATCGTCCACATGCTTGACGGAGGGTGTCACTGCGGTGCATGATTTTGAGGTGGCCAATTACCGGTTGCTGGATGGCATCGGCGTCGGCAAGCACGTTCGCTCAAGCAACTTCAGCGTGGGTGGCTTCGAATGGTTTATGAATTTCTTCCCGGATGGGAGGATGGCAGACTATGCTGGCTATGCATCAGTCTTTCTGGACCGTGTCATTCAACAGAATGACACACATAATGTCAGGACTAAGTTCACCTTAAACATGCTAGAGAAAGACGGTGAGGCACAATTAACTAAATGTGATGAGATAGGTCATGTCTTTTCCTCAGCAAAGTCATATTGGGGCTACTGCAGATTCGTTGCGAAAGAGAAACTGAAATCATCGTCGCAAGCCAACAATGGCTTGTTGATTATACGATGTGTTCTCACCGTGATAAAAGAACCTCGCACCGAGGTTAAGAGGAACACTGTTGTGGTTCCGCAACCGAATCTGCAAGACCAGCTCTGCCAAATGTGGAAGGATGGCCAGGGTGCAGATGTGACATTCAGTGTGGGTGGCCAATTGTTCAAAGCTCACAGATGCTTATTGGCTGCACGGTCTCTGGTTTTCAAGGCGGAGCTCTTGGGTCCGATGAAGGAGAAGGAAACACACTGCATCAAAATTGATGACATCGACCCTGAAATCTTTGAGGCTCTTCTTCACTTCATATACACAGATTCCCTGATAGTCGATGAGCACCACAAGGAAGGTGAAATTGCAAAACTGCAGCATCTGCTAGTTGCCTCGGATCGATATGGTTTGGATAGGTTAAATGTGATGTGTGAAAGTAAATTGTCTGAGTGCATTGACGCGGAGACTGTTGCAACAACATTGGTTTTAGCAGAGCAACACCACTGCAAGGATCTCAAAGAAGCCTGCATTGAGTTTATGGCTCCACGGAATGTTCTACAAGCTGTCATGGCAACCGATGGTTTCAAACATTTGGTAGCAAGCTGTCCTTTGGTCATGAAGGAGTTACTGGACATGGTGTCCCGGGGTGGCTAGTCTGGTACGTTCAGAGGTCAAATTATCATATGTGGAACTAGTTATGCAGACTGCTATTTTCAATCCATTGCTCGGTTTACCTATGACTTATTACGCCGTGATATTGTGATGAGTCGTGTTTGCATTTTTTATGATATTTTTACCATATCAGTTTGATTAGTACTCCATGGCATAACTCCTATTTGAGGAAAAGGCTGTTATCCAAGGGAGTGCTTGGATCATTCGTTGGCAGTATAAACTGTAAGATAATATACTGTTGCTCATGCAGTTTATTATTAAGTTCATTCAGAATTTTTCTGTATGATTGAATTTATTGTAGTGAGAATATTATTCGGGTATTATACTAGTACAATTGTCCAAAATTTAACTAATGATCCTCGTGCTTTATAGTACAACCATGTAAATGGTAACTTCAGATTCATTCTATTTTAGACAATTCTGGAGTAACCAATTTTACACGATTGTAGTTGATATTTTAGTATGCCAAATAAAGAGAATTCGTCCTATTTTAAGAGTAACCACATATGAGCCAAAAAAAAAGGTTCGTTCATATTATTATACACATGTATGTCAACTAAGTTCGAAAGAAAAGGAAGGGTGTTAAATAATGTTTTTGACTCAATGCAGCATAGCATGCATCTACCAAATAAAAACTGATGAGAGAAGGGGCGTTTGCCTACTCTCACTACTGAATCTGCCCGTTTTCTTCCGTAATTGTTGTTTTCTATTGCCAAGGTGTGTAGTAGGTAAGTTTCAGGTACAGTATCTGGTAGGGCTCCTGCAGTTTTTGGTCGTTTGGTTCTAGTTGTAAGTTTTTTTTATCCTTCTCTCTCTTAATATTACACATGCATCCTCCTGCGTGATTCAAGAAAAATAGTAAAAATCTTTTTCGAAGCATAGGCAAAAGATTTGCCTCATCGCTTAATTAAGCAGAAGAGAATTGCCCAGTTGATTAACGGAAAACCGGGCAAAAAAGGGTACAAACCAACCACATGTGGTATACTCACAAAACATGCAACCCTATAATTAAGCACATGATCAGCTCGACAACGTTATGCAACACGTAACAGCCATCAACCTTCACACTGCTACATCGCAAAGACAACCCCAACAAAAGTAACTCGGCTGAAGATCACCTCATTGGGCTCATTGGAGTCCTTGGCGGTGGCCGTGACGCCCTCACCACCATGGTCACAGTCTTGACAGCCTCTCGCCTTTGTGAACAATGGAGGCTTGGTTGGTTTTGTTACTCTCATCTATGACCATTGAGCATGTGGTGTCTTTGAGTGGCGAGGTTGATGAGACACCTAACTCTAAGGCTCTGTCTTCTGAGCAATTTGAGACGCTCGAGTACATAGTGTCGGTTGTATCTGCGGCTGATGATGCCGAGGCAGTCGGTATTTTGACGCCTGATCCCTTGGAGCCCACACAGCTGCTCGCCTTTGTGGAGCATGGAGGTTTGGTGTTGGAGTCACCCACTCACACATGACCGTTGTGCACGTTTCTGTGTGTGACAAGGTTGATGATATTCTCTTCCAGATAAAACTTCACAGCTTGCTCAAACGTTTGGAGACGGCTGGCCTTGGATCTAGCAAGACGATTTTGGAGGAGGCTATCAGGTGCAAAGGAAAGAAAAAAAAGAGTAAATATCCTTCTCTCGGTTTATCCAAATGCACAAACACAATTTACCAAAGGTTTTCTCATAGAAAAACTAAGCTATTCTGTTCACAACTTTGGTTGTTTGGTTGTAGCTACTAGTTGTAAACTGGGATGTGATTATGTGTCAGTTTTTGATTCGTGATTAGAAGGGAGGCAGGGCCCACCCCATGAGAATCAGGGGAAGAGATTAATTAGCATTGAGTAGTCCTTGGGAGGCCCGTATGTTAGAAATTTAGGGTTTTGCGGTCTACCCCTAATTCCTCTGCGCTTATCCGTGGTGCCGCTCACAATTCACATATTTGAGACTAGGGGGTAGGGACCTTCTTATACTGTCTTTTCAAAGAGTCCACCTCTTATACAGATATAAGATTCCTAGTCTTTTCCACTAGTTTCCGGGATAGAGTCCAGATCAAATTACCAACCACGATCATATTTGTCTGTTAACAGATTCTACCCGTTATGTCCCGGAGCACGTGCTTGTGAGCAACGCGTCATAATAAAGTATAAATTCTTCTAATTATGTAGATCAGCATTAGGGTTATAATCTAACTATATGATCTAGCTCCTTCCAATTATCAGCGTACCCGGGTAGTCTTTCCAATATAAATAGTATATTGTATTTCAGTGATAATGGACCAGCTTCCTTAAGCATATTTTACTTAAGTACATTTCAACAAGTGATAATTCCATGATAATTATGTAAAGTAATTCCATGCACAAATACATGTATATAATTCCATAATGAGGTATTCCGAATATTTAGTAATTCCTAATAATTGGAATATAGTTGCAGGACACATAATTCCAACATCTCCCACTTGTCCAAAACGATCATTCAAATATTCGTAAATCCATAGCCTTAACATGCTTACCAAATACCTCATGACTAATAGGCTTAGTCAAGGGGTCAGCAACCAGGTTAACACTACGTTGAAAATCCAAAGAAATATATAGTGATATCTTCCATCAATATGTTTCCTTGCTGTGACACTTAAGATCACTAGAGACCTTTTGTTTCTGCCTAATTATTCCAGCAGAGTTGTCCTCGGCGCCTTGAGTATTATTTCCTCGAGTGCAATTCCACCTTTATAGGCATCTTGAGTATTTTGTTTCCTCAAGTGAAATTCCGCATCAATTATTTTCAGTCACATATATCAATAATATAAATAATTCCACATTGAGTCAAATAGAAGATAACCATCTTGAATAAAGTTTCCAAAACCACATAAATATCAAATCCAATCAGTAAATGAAGCTCCATAAGAAATCATGTTCTGAAAGAAATTCCTGACTTCGGTCAGTGAACCTGCAACATATTAGTACTTCACAAAAAAATGGATATGCGTACCTGGACTTATTTCTCAACTCGTAGATACAGTAATAGCTTTCTCAATGTGTTTACCTTAAATATAAATTCCAAAACAAGTGACAGGTTGTGATGCATTTTTCACAATCTTATATGATGTGTGAGATTCCCTTAGCTGCTCGTCTTTCCTTCCACTATTTGGAGGCAGCATAATTCTGAAAGCTATGGTATGATTGTATAATGAAGATACATACAAATTCCAGTACCATTTATTATTCCATTTTCCTCATGAGTTTAAATATAATTCCTCACTGAGTATGATTCCCTTTATCAAAGGTATTTTAACAGATTTTCAATTTTCCATAGAGAAACACTTGAAAATATTTTCTATGTATTTCCACTCGTAAAACATTGGATGTTTCAAATGTTCCTTTCATATGAAAGTTAAAAAAAAAGACCAAGCTTTCACTTCCATCAATGTGACTTTATCATTGCAAACAATAAAACACATATACAATAATAATGCAAAATACTTTACACTTATATTTATAGATGACCGCCTTGCTTCATTTAGAAAACCATATGACCTGCTATTCCATTGATGTGAAGCTTGTTATAAGACCACACATTAATATACTCAATTAGCTTACCATGTCTTTAGTTCCACTTTCCCAAAATTCCAGGAGAGAGAGTTTCCACAAAGTATATTTCCCTTTATGTGAATAATTGAATAAAGGGAGTGATATTATACTATTTCAATGAGACAAATTTCCTCACAAATAAATAAATAAAACACTTATAAACAATGGGCTTGCGGTTGTTTGGTATGATTATAAGTTCCTGAAAGTGCGTTATATCGACTAGAGGGGGGTGAATAGGCGATTTTTATGAAATCTTCACTGAGGAATTTCAGGGTGAGGAAATTCCTGAGTGAAGAACTACTTGAAGTGGAATAAGTACTCAGAAGTAAACATAACAGAACATGAGCATGGTCTTCAAGATGAAATGAAAAACAGGCACAGAGTACAGAAAGCGTAAACACAGGATAACACAAGATGAAGACAAACAGACTAAAGAAATTGAACTGAGGAAATAGAGAAAGTCTTCAGTCAAAGTCTTCAAACAGATATGAACAAGCTCACAACATAAAAATAAGGAAATGAAAGGGTTGAGGAAATGGAACCAGGTAGCTTGGTGAAGACAATGATTTGGTAGACCAGTTCCAACTGATGTGACAGTTGTACATCTGATTAGGGCGGCTAGGTGTTTAAATCTGAGGACACACAGTCCCGGACACCCAGTCCTGAACACATAGCTCAGGACAGTCAGTCCTCACCGTATTTCCCTTGAGCTAAGGTCACACGGACCTCGCCCAATCACTCGTGGTAAGTCTTCAGGTGACTTCCAAACCTTCACAGACTTGGTCACTCGACGATCCACAATTTCCTCTTGGATGCTCTAGACCATGACGCCTAACCGTCTGAAAGATGCACAGTCTTCAAAGGTAACAAGCGTTGGATCCACGCAGGATCAATCTCTTCAGTGATGCTCAATCACTTTGGGTTTGTAGGTGTTTGGGTTTGGGTTTTTCTCACTTGATGATTTTCAGTCAAAGTCCTCGGAGGATGGGATGCTCTCAAATGACAAGTGTCAGTTTCTCTCGGAGTAGCCAACCAGCTAGTGGCTGTAGGGGGTGGCTATTTATAGCCTAGGGAGCAGCCCAACATGATAAGACATAAATGCCCTTCAATGATATGACCGTTAGGTGGGTAGATATTTTGGGACAGCTGGCGCATAGCACAGCAATGGTCAGAATTTTGAGTATCAAATTCCTCAGGCCTATCATGTTCCTCACTGTGTAGGCAATCCGCATTGGCGAATTCCTAACTCCTCAGTTAGAACAAATTCCTCAGAGACCAGAAGAACTTCGTCTCTGTCACTGAAGAAATTGACTGAGCTGTATGAGATTTCCAATGGCTTCACTCGAAGGGATTGGTAGGTGTAGGATTTGAGTTGAGCATCACTTGGAAAATTT